GGCTGCCCAGGGAGGTGGTTGAGTCCCCATCCCTGGATGTGTTTAAGAATAGGGTGGATGATCTACTTGAGGATATGGTTTAATGGGGATTAGGGATGGTTGGACTCGATGATCTACAAGGTCTTTTCCAACCTAGAAATCTATGAATCTATGAATACTGAAATTATTATTTTTTTAGCAAACATAATAAATTATTGTCAAAAAAAGTTTTCTTGAGATGTTGAGCAAACACGATATGTTCACCTGAGATCTTCCCAATAAAAATGAACAAAACAAAGCCTAACGAAAGATATCGAGTTGTCCTCAAGAAAAGCATACGAGTCTTCAGAAAGCTGATGATGCTTTGACTCTTCAAAATAGATCTCAGCTAATACTTGCTTATCAAATAAAACCAAGTTCATATCTAATTAATTTGGTCCCTGCCTAAGCTCAGGAAGGTGTGTGTTTATAGTGACAAGACAGTTATTCCCACTACCATAGTCTAATGCCTTAATGATAACTTTTAAAAAGTATTGGAGTGGTTTCTAACCTAGTTTGGCAGTACAGACATTGCTAATTAATAGTGAATCTCTTTGATGATTAAACTTCGTAGGCAACGAAGGATATTAAAAATAGCATTGAGACCTGAGTTGCTGGTGTTTTTTTTTTTTCTGTTCATTTAATTATAAAGTCTGGCAGGATTTTAGGTGCAGAAATTGCTCCGTCTTGTTGAATAATGTTATTTCAAAATTTTTATACTGTGTTTCTCTTCTTGTTATTCTGTGCATCGTTTTTGTATTGCTGTTATTGTTCCAGTGGATTGGTTTTCAGTCATTTTTGGGTTTGAAGATGGAGTGAGGGGGTGGTGGTTTTTTACTTTGGAAGCAACATGTTTTTGCAATTAAGGTTTATATTGGGTCTCATCATGTTCAGTTTATCACTGCAATGTGAATATCAAAAAACTTCACAAAATTATTCGTGGCTGGCCATAAACAAGTCAGGGCTGAACATTGCGACCAAAGTCAAGAGACAGCCTTCATGGCTGTCTCCTCATTTAGCACTAAAATGGGCTTTATATTTGAAAACTCTACAGGTGCAGCCAAGAACCGTTTCTGTAACAGGCTATGACCAAAGATGAGACCTTGTTTTAATTTGGGGTAGAATTTGCCCTTGGAACATAGCAAAAGCTGACTTAACTTCTCTATTTCTTTAAGGACCATCGAAGAAATGCCAACACCTTTTAAAATTCTCAGTTATCTTACCTTTCAAAAATACAGTAGTGAGATTCTTATAGTCAATGAATTTTATGGCTTAAACTTCACATGTGGTAAGTGTTCCAAAAAAAAAAGGCCTTTAAGTCCATTGTAAATAATTTTAATGAGATTTCAATGCTTATTTTCCTTCTATGTACGATAAAAGTATCTTGATAAGTTAAAAGTAACTTATGAGTTGTTAAAAAAAGCTTACTAATTAGTGTAAGATTCACTGTAGTGCCATATCAGCAAGCTAGCCAAAGGTTTGACTTTTTTCCAACCATTTCTCACTCTTTCAGTTTTTCATCTTTCTCTTCTATTCTTTCATCCCTCCTTGGGGGGCATTTTGGAAGGTAAACTTTGCAGCCTGTTATGTGCTTATCAGAGCAGCGTTACACAAATAGAAGATCAATAGAATTGCACGGTATGAGATCAAACATCAGTGCAGGGAGCACTGTCAGGTAACATCTGACCATATGTTTCCTCTTGCACTAGTGAGTCTTCATGGCATGTATTGAGCAGCTCAGATCTGTCAGGCTGTGCTTTGCTGTTTGTAAGATAACCGGCAAAACATTAGAATCGATCAGGTTGGCAGCATTAGTAGCTAACATCCATCAATGGGGCTGAAACTTAACAGCTTTGGACCTACCCTGAGATATTTTGGGCTTTGTAGCCAGGTGTCTGTGCTCCTCTCCAAGGTTATATATTCTTTATCCATTAATCTCTCCTGCCCCTCTTTATTCTGAAACCATAGGTGACAAACGTTAGAAAATGAGTCCATGACTTTGGTAGTGATAATAAACAGCTGCTTTTTAATGTGCCCTTCAGACAGTCTCCATTTCTTGAATCTTGGAGGCACTCAACAAATAGGAACACTGTAAGCCTACCACACTGGGCGACTTGCTTCTTGATGGTCCCTCCAGATAACGTGTCTGAAAAGCCATCAATCTTGTTTTGTTTAACATGAACTAAAGAGAAGGCTCCTAGTGACCCTTTAGTTTGCCCTTCAAAAAACACGGCACAGATTAAACTGCAGAAACATACGGCTTGCCTGTTCTTACTCCGAAATGATGGGAAATACTGCTGTGTGTACAGTTCTGTGTTAAAATAACGTTAGGGCTAGGCACATGAAATGTATGAGCTAGATACTGAAGCCTGAGTTTTAATCTTACTGATTCACCTACTAAAGATACTATTTTTTTCTTTTGACAGGTGAGCCCAACAGTTCCACTGCAAATCATCCTGAGTGTATGTTATCTCATGGCCTTCAGTTCATTGAAGAAAACTTTCCTGGTGCATTGTCCCGGTTCACTATCGATTTCCTAATACTCTATGCTTTTCTACCAGGACTTGCCATTATAGCAATTCTGAGCTTCAAAATAAGAGAGAGAATTATTGGCAGGCAATAAAAAAGCAGCGGTTCTCACAATTCTATGTCTAATACTACGTTTTTAACTTTATTATGGTTGAAGGCTTAAATTGTTGGATTTTTAGATAGAATTTAAGTGATTATACATGTAGAAACACATTCATCTTCTCATGTCTGTTTCTAGCTGGATGTCTTCTATCTTGAAAAACAATTTTCTCTTAAGAGTGTGAACGGCTTCCTGCTATTGGTATTCCCTCTCCACTCCCAAATCAGCCATAATCAAAAGTAGTACGTGTTTTAAAGGACTTTCTGAATTTAATTTAGTCAGCTGGTGCTGTCAATTTTTAACAATGTAGCAATGATGCTCTAACTTTTTCCCCACTATTTTGTTTTTTAACCATTACCAATAACCAGAGGGGTACAATTGCTAGTAAATCTCATTTCTAGAATTGTATTTTAAGTCCTATGCTTGCTTTGATACCATTTTGGCGATTCGTAGAAAGGGAACAAACAAAGTATGTGTAAATAAAGACAGAATCAAGAAATCACTCCACTTTAATCCCTATGCTTGCTTTGATACCATTTTGGCGATTTGTAGAAAGGGAACAAACATATTATGCATATTATGCAACCAATGAGTACAGGATCTTTAAGCAACACAGAAGTTACCTAACATGTTTTTTCTAATGTACATGATGATAAATCAGAGAAGACAGCTGTTATTTACATCTGTTCCCTCTTTTTATTATCAAGTTCTAAATCTTGTTTTTGAAGCAGTTTGTTAATTACTAGAAGAATTTTTCATTTGTTAATAAAATGCCAATTTAACTGGGGAAAAAAACATACAAGTTGTTTGCCAGTTCATGGAAGCGATGTAGTTTGCATCTTTGGAAATTATTTTCATGGGCTCACAAACATCAAAAAAAATCAAATTTATCCATTTAATAAATATAATTTTCTCTCAAAATTGAAAGCCTAACAGAATTCCTAAGTTTTTTAACTTACTTTTTATGTTCAGTGAAGAAATTATTTATTACAGAGGGATAGCTAGAGACTTCTTTGAGGAGGTAATTATATTTGTATCTTGAAATTCCCTCATTATATGATTAGAGATAATTTGATAGTTTTGAGATGATGCATTTTGTAAGGAACAATTTGAAAGACTTGAGTAAATGCAAGTTCTACACTGAAGTGTGAGGCCAAGATTTTTTTTTTCCTAATATCTTTATGTATAATATTCTGAGATACAAATATTATATCAGAAAAACATTTGGTGAACAAATATGTTAAAAATAACAAATAACTTGAAAGAGCTGGAAAGATACCACATTAGTTTCTTTCCCATTTTTATGTGGATGTAGGGTTGTTCATCACGGAACATTCTTATGATCTGGTCTGCCAAGTGACTGTTCAGACATTTACTCTCCAGAGACACCTCTGGCTTTAATCTAGATCTTGTCCTGAAGATTCTCAAAACACTCAGTCCATCTCCTACTAGTGAGGATGTCCATAGACAAAAAGCCGTATCTAGTTGAGGCAAGCATTTCACCAGCTTTCGTGAATTGATTATACTTCCACCACTAACTAAATATCTGTCAAGTTGATTAGACTGACTTCCTAGCATTTGAGTATTTGACAGACATGTCTGTCTTCTAAATTCTGTGCAAGTTATTACAACATTATACATTGCAAGAAATAATTCCGGTATTAAACTGTGTAATACTGGAGCAGAGATAAGGCAAACTTCTGAATTCAGGTCAAACACGGTTTTAATTCCACCTTATTCTGCCACTTTTTGTGGACCTATCCTATTGAAATATATCAAACAATGATGCCAATATATTCTTAAACTTTGCTTTTGAATTATATCTGCAAAGAACTAAGCAAAGACGCCTAGCACACTTTACTAGGCAGTTTCGTATCTTGGGTGTGAAAACTGGTTTATATTTAAATACATGTTCAGGGCAGAAGCATTCAAAAATAAACCAAATAACGTGTTATAACTTCAATAGGTAGAACTGACTAATGCCAGTCGTTCTATTCAAACCCATCTCTGAACACTCTAGAATTCCTTTCTCCCCACTTTTTTGAATTCTGTGTGAGTACCAAGATACACTTAAATTTGGACTGAAGGAATAAACAGCACTTTTTATTAAAAATAACAACAGGAATACTTAATAAATATTAATTTTGTAGTTTGATATTGTATATTCTCAACTGCATCAGATTAAATTGCTGAAGACACCTACAGCAGTTCATCAGTCGGAATCAAAATCCATTTCTTTCCAGGATTTAGAGGCATTTCTTTTGTATTGTTCAAGTTCCTAAAACAGAAACATACAAACATCTTAATCTAATCTCCTCGTTACTAAAAGTTATGAGATACATATGTTAGCCACTTGAATATTTAAAGCATGTACAAGCATTTTTCACTGTATTAAAAATGTACTATATATGTTTTTATCTTTAACAAAATTATACTAAAAGCGCTATAAATTTTGCCACATTTACTCTCATATAGGGAGCTAGGTTTTTTTTATTTATTTAGACCTAGATACTTTCTAGGGAAGAAGAAATTTTGTCTCTTGGACATCCAGTTTGAGAAACCAGGCTCCCTATAAACATACAGAAACGTAACACTACTTGTGTTTTCAAAACAGAAACCAGAATTACCCAACGGAAACTACTGTTACACACTTGAAGTCAGGGCCTTTCAAGAAGCAAAATGGATCGGTAATTCCTTAAGATTACAGAAAAGAAACTACAAAAATAAAGCCTACTTTCTTTTTTTTTTTTTTTTTAAGCATAGGCCATAATGAACTTCTGTAAGCTTATACATCACCAGTGGTGCTAACGTAGAGAGCTACCTGTGGACCTTGGACAACCCTGCAGAACATGGGCTTGTCCAGAAAGCAGTAAGCAGAAATATATCTTAGAGGAATGCAATGGGTGTTTAGGAAATCAGCATACCATGTCTCTTCAGTCTGTGGCACTGGATATTTGTGGAAATATTCATCATTGCTTGAGGTTTTTCAGGAAGTGTATTACTCATGACAGGCAATGATGCTGTGCTTTTACTTTTCTTTTGTTTTTCAGTTACTAGTTAAAATATTCTTTCAGGTGCTACTGTTTAGCAGATTGAAAAGTTAGCATCTGTGTGTAAAATTAAAATGCAAACCCCATGTGGTAATTAAAATTATGCCTCTTTTAGGTAGTAATTAGATTATTAAAAGCAAACAGAGGCTCAAGTTGTGGAGGTATAAACAAAGTGAATTAGGTATGAAAAACGATGCAGTCTACATTATGCTATACTTGACATCAGCTGAGTACTAGCAAGGTAGTCAAAAGTGCTACTGGGAATTTTGAACCCTAAAATAAAAGGATCTAGCAACATTACAAAACAACAGTTTCATCTTCTGAATTTTAGGTAGTGGTGCATACTGTCAGGAATTACTTCTGAAGATTTTTTTCAGCAAAAATTAATTTGGAAAGCACGGCCGTTGCTTCTCGTTCATTTAAGAATAAGGTGGCTTCCAACATATTTGCAGGAAGATGATATTCTAACGAGGTACTATTAGACCTGATCACGTACTGCTTGCAATACAGAAACGTCATCGTCTCTTACTTAGATCACAGAAAGAGGTGAACATAAACCAGAAATTAGTATAAATGTAGCAAAGACTCTCAAAGGTGAGCATGTGCTCTAGATGATTGTTATTCTGATTTTAATTGAACAATTAAATTGAAACCCATCTCTAATTTAACTGAATTGACTTAACAGAGTAAGGGGGTTTCACTGTAGGGATACAGAGACAAGAACTGACAAAAATAATAAAATTCACACCCAGTGCATTTAACAGCAGTATTAATTATCAACCCAGAGCACAGAGGGAGAAAGGAGAAAATAAAGGGCAGAACAACAAAGAAATAATCATCTAAAAATCGTATGAAAATAATAAATGGAATTTTCCCTCTCTCAGAAAATCACTTCAGCAGTTTTGTCAGCAGTGTAAACTTTTCAGAAAGCATCTCAGGTTTCTGAGCAGTAAGAGGTTAGTGCAGACTCTTCACGATGCTTGCAGGAGTCTAGTTTTACAGGGAAGTAACTCGGAGATGACTGACCCAGAACGTACTGTGTCCAGTCTAAATCTAGTAAGTTGCATTATTAAACACAACTCTTGTACTACTGAACTGTTCTATCTGTAGGCCAGTCTTTACTCAGTATTTTCACTCCCTCGTTATTAATATAAAGTCATTATGACCTTGGAACATACAGAACTGTTCGAAAGTTGCCAACAGTTAGAAATAGAGAGAATACTGTGATGTTTTAAGAAGCACGCTAAGTAAATAATTTCCATTCTAACAACTTTCTCAAAGGCTACAGGAAGGGGTAGAATTAGACAACGAAGTTTTACATATAAAGACAATGCTGTCTGGAGGTCATGTCTAGAGGTGTCGCCTAAATAATTTGCCTTACAGCTTTATCATCTGACTAAACTGTTTCAAGAAAGAGACAGGTAATTCAGCAGAATTTATTTTGCTGTAATTTTAGTTAGCTGGAAGGCAATTCAGTGTAAAGGCAAATCAAAGCAATACGGAAATGCAAAGTATCAAACTCACAGCACGTATTAAAATGGCATAGTTATTCCATTACATAAAGAAATACAGAACAAAAAGAGAAATTTTTATTTTGGAGACATATCTAGATAAGACTAACATTTAAACAAAGAGAAATGAAAGAAAAAAAAAGAACTTAAGTAGGAGGATATTTACAAAAAAAAAAAAAATTTTAACAAATTCAGTGATTCAGGAAGAAAAATGCTGTCAGGAAAGTAAAGTACAATTCCTGAGTTTTCATGCAAAATAGAAAGTAAAATAAATCCCCCTAAGTCAGAAATGTAATGAAAAAATCTTTCCAATACAGCTTAAAGATCACTTGAGAGACCCTTTTGAAAAAGGGGTACCTTCCTGCTCATAAAGTCCTACACTACAAACATAAGTGGAATTCTGGAATATACTTTAATTATACACTCAGCTAGATATCCTCTCTCCAAATGGAAAGAAGATCCTACAAAAGACTATATCTCCAAGTACACCAAAACGTTCACACTAGCATTATGCTTCATTTTCTGGGTACCAAGTGTAGGGGTCACAGAGCAGATTTACGAAGAATTAACAATTGCAATTCAAATATGCTTTCAATGTGCTCTGAGAGCTTTAAACATTGTTAGTGCTAACAACTTGCCCTAGATGTCTCAACACTGGTATAAAGTGGATTTTTAGAATTTTTTTTTAACCTTCATGCTTCTGTGTTTCTATAAATTCTTCATTTGTCAAATGGAGAAGATCACACCTAAGCTCATAAAGGGATTGGGAAGAACGACTTAACTGATGTTTGTGAGGCACTCAGATATCTAAGATTACATTACCACACATTCTCAGAGAAAAAAAATTAATACTTTTGTGTTCATTGAAGTGTCTGAATGGCAGGTTGAGAAATAAGGTACACAAAGAATAAGGATGATGAAAAGAAATACTGAACAATTGAATTGAGACATCAGCAAAATAGTATATGAGCATGTAATTAAAGACAATACTATAATGCCTACAAACAAGGAGAAAAAATTAAGATTGTAGGAAAAGCCTTAATTGCTGCGTTCCCTCAGTTCTGATGGACTGACATGACTTTAACTTTCTTTTTCATGCAGTTTCTCACTGAAAGTGCCCTCAGTCTGGAACATGGTGAAAATAACCAAGTACTGAAACAAGGATTACAAATCTTAAGCACCTAAACTTCAGTAGGAAATTTACTGACAGTGCCCTAATAATGATCTTAAATTGGTATATATATAAAAAAAAATAAATCCATTTGCACATGCTTGCATATGAAAATGAGAAAGCTTATTCTTGGCAGCTTTGTAAACATCCTAAATAACTTTTTCTCCACAATATCAAGACTAGCAGTTTTCCTCCTCTGCAGAAAACGGAAGATGCAACTGCTCTGTTCTCCATGTTAAGGTGCCTGTCATACTTCTCTGCCTAGTAACACCAGTCTGACCAAAGAGGTTCATCACGCAATGTGCAATCTTCTGTTGTTGAATGAGAGTGAAATTGTCTCCTGAAGTTCTGCAATATGGTCATGTCAGCAAGGTATGTTGAAAAAAATCGTGTTCTTGTTCTGTTGGCCCAACCTCAATTAGACAACTGCAGGTCTGACACTGAGATGACTTTTAGTTATGAATGACATGGTTAAATACGTCACTCCTATTTATTTTAGGGGAAATAGGACTACACTTCCTTGTGAGATGTCATAGAACTTTCCCTTCTTCTGTTTAAGATTGGTTAAAGTTTCAACAGTTATAGCCCTCTTCATTGAGATCTGCTTCCTTTACTTGTCAGCTGACACCAAACAGCACTAGCCACCTACGTCGTTTTTTTGGTTGTTTTTTTTTTTAACTATACTTTATGGCATTAGGCTTCAGCTAAAACTGGCACCAATCCCTACAATCCCTAAATAACACCGTTGTGTAACAAGGACCAGTCAGTGTGAACTTTGGCATTGTGTGACACTGACTTCTTAAGTACCTGACTGGGAGACTATCCAATTCTTTGAGCTCAAAGTCAGCTTTATCCTTCGCTTCAACACATGAAGCCACAGTCAAAATGACCAGATAAAAAAGATCCAAGCACCTATTTTGAGTGTTAGCAGTATGAGGTATAACAGGGCAGCTAAGACCTGAAAGTCTAGAGTAACTTACCTCTGTGGTAGAGAGCATTTGTAAAAGAAAAAGAGCAGCCTTCCCCATGTGCCATCTCACTGCCACAACCGTTTAGAAGGAACTAAGGTACGAGACTTTCCTGCGCTCCTAAGTGCTCACAGCTGCAGGTGGTATATGTGCAGCTCTAATTGACAATGTTATTTTAAAAGACCTCACTCTTATTCAAGTGATGGGTGTACCTAAAATGAAATTAAGGTGACCTTAAAGCATCGAAAGCCAAACAGCTAGCCGAGAATGGAGAGAAACAGACGACAGGTTTTTTGCCGTCTTATTTATGTTTTATGTGGGCTGTATGAAGAGTTAACAGCAAGCTACACATTTAAGGCCTAATAAATATGCAAAACAAATGTTTTTCTTGAATCTTGAAAACCCTGCAAAGAGCACAAAACCCCATTAATTCCCTGAGAGAATCTGCTAGTTAAGAAATAAATCCAAAACGTGAATTTCAAAAAGTTCCCTGGTGCTGTATTGTCTCTCTCATAGCTTAACTCCAGAGAATGAAAAAGCAGTAAACAATTGCAACAGCACTATTTCCTACAAACCTGCACGTTGCGTGTCTGTAGGTTAAGAACTAGGAAAAGAATTCAGAAAGGACATAGTTGAGAAAGAGAGATGTGCTTCATCTTGACCAAAAGCACTGTGAGGCAAAGAGACTCAAAACTTGAGTTTTTCAGAGCAAAAAGGTCTAGGAATAGAGTGGGAGGTCTCGTAGTTAACTCTGAAAATATTATGGAAGCAAAATAATCTTGTCTGAAAGAAAACACTCTTGTGACACAGTGCTGGTGAGCTGGACTCTCAACTTCTACAGCCAAAAAGTGTCTCAGACAAATACTAGCTGACAGCTAGTACACGGGAGTGACCCAGGTACTTTTCTGTTTCTATATTTCTTTTTTAAAACTGTTTTTCAATTTTATACTTGAGACTTTAACCTTTTACTCTGCTAGAGCATACAAACCCTAGCTGCAGACACACCCTTCAACCAAGGTTACAAAGTCGGAATCGATTTAATTACACTTTGTATTGCCAGAGTTATCCATAAATCTATTCCAGTATTATTAAGCAGTCCCAACTAAGACTGCAACATCACTCAGGTATGCTAGTTCTTCCGTCAGACTCAGTGACAGGGGCTATATTTTGTTTCTGTTGGCATGGTTTTGTGTTTATTTTTCCTTTAAAGCTTATCTTGGAGATAAACAAGCAAACTGGTTACCACTTAGAGACCAAAGTGGCATATTAATTAACCAAAAGTAACTAAGAAAAATCATAACATGCACTTAAAGGACTTCAGAATATACACTGTCATATGAATTTTCATTTTGCATTATGTTTCATAATTTCATTAACAAATGTTGCATATTAAACATGTTAATATACTGTTCCTCCTGCACAATAGGTATTAGACTCCATAAAGAATGTCAGACTTACGATGCATTTAAAACGTTGCTTTAAAAATAGGATTCTCGTGCCACTCTTCATATAACTAGGAAATCTAAAGACACTTCCAGAATCACTGCAACTACAGAGCTCTGTTCTTTTAGATGTGCATTTGCTATCTTGGTACATTTCAAATTGAATGAAATTCTTGGAGTATAAAATATTTTAATAATATGCAAATAATCTAGTAATTGAATTTCGTGATAGAGAAGTTTAGGAAATAGCTGCAGATAACAAAAGTAATTTTCTCTTTAATGCTCAGATTACTTGTAGTAGTCCAACTCAAAGAAGCTACACTGGTTTGCAATGCCCTTGAACAGATTAAGATTCTAAAAGCCTGTCTCTTTTGTTTAAAACCAGAAAATTAATAACTTCCTATATGATTTAATCAACGCGTACCAGTATCTTCATTTGCAAGATGTAAGTATTATCTAAAAATAACAAACCCAGTACACTATATAGTTATTTTGAGATATACAGATATACTGAGTATGAGATTACATTATAAATTCCAAAAGCAATGTGCTTTTAATGATTTCTAAGACTGCTCTTGATGTAACAAATTCAGAACTGATGCCTACATTAACAGGATATTACAGGTAATGTGCAGGTTCAAAGACTGCAGGCGATTCTTGAAATTGCTTTATTCTTTTACATTATTAATGTATTTCTTTGGATCAGGTAACTGCAGGTTTACTGCCTTATGCTATCTAACTAAACTCTACAAAAACGTGATAGCAATAATAATCTAATCCTTTGGCTTTCTTTTACAAGCATGCAAAATATGAAATTTGCCACAGTACTTTAGGGTTAGTTGAGATTAACTGCAGTGCAATTCACTAAAACTGCCTTTCATCTTAAGAGTGGGGCTCTATAAAAGCATGTGAGATCTAGATTGGTACAGTTTCCTTAAAGCACTGTTAGAAAAACCTCCTTTAACCACAGCAACTTGGTCCACAAAGAAGTTAAATGGGGTACAAACAGCCCACATATAAGCTGTGACAAGAGTGGAATGTTTCTCAGTTATTCTAGCAAAGAATTTTCTCTGTGTGAAACAAATGGATCTACATGAACTAGTGAGTTTCCAGAATAAATATGTGATACTTCTTCAAACAAAGGCAAACACATAAATCTTAGACTGATTTTAACAGATCCATACCTATGATTTTGATGAAGACTAGATACAGTATTTCTACTTACGTGATGTTGTACACTGATATCTATAAAGCAGTGTTCTAGCCTTCATCTAGTTTGCCCCAGAATTG